GGGGGGGGGGTAGGGTTGTACTGTATCACAATCCTGGGCACAGGCTCTCATTTCATTCTGGGCACAGGGTTCTTTTGCACTTAAATTCTGGGCACTGGGATTTGGTTTTGAGAAATTTTGGCTGAAAGATTCCTGTATACCCAAGTTTATGTACCTTAAATTGTTGTTTATGATGTTAATGGACAATCTACAATTTGGTTTCAGGGTACTTGTATACCCAAAACTTTGGTGTAGGATACGTGACAGCATAATCCCTAAGCTAACTGTTGAAAAAGAGAAGTCTCTTAACCCTTTAACCCCTGAGAGTGACTAGCATATAATTTCTCCTTACAGTATCAGCACTGAATCACACATTAATGTTATGAGAATAAAGGAAATGATCACCAATTAAAGAAACTCTTGATTGTTAGACAAATTCTCCTTGTCAGCACCTTAGTAAACATACAGAGAACAGTGTGGAGAATATGAATGCTGATGTTAGCGTGTGAAGGGTTAATGGCTAGTAATTTCTAGGTCCCTTTTGTTTGAAAATTATAATTTGGTTGATGCATTTGAGGAGGCTGTTGATATGAACAGTATTGAATTTTCTTTCTGATTGGACATCATTAATAAAACTAGGTAGATTGACTTTGATGTTTGCCCTTTTTTTGTATATTCATTCCCTCAAATAAATTTTATATTACATATTTCATAAACCTGTTATTGAAAATTTTACAATAATATGAACAATTTTCTTCATTTTCAGCTTAATTTCGACCCCAAGAATTATTTTCAGAACATGCGCAATTCCGATGACTTCCATCTGTCCAAGATCCTGCATATGCTTCGAAAGCCTGTTGACAAACATAAGTATGTTTATTGTATGTGTGAATACCTCATACTTATTAGTTGTGGGTGACTTTCTTTCCTTGAAAATTCTCAATATATTATAGGGGGAAATATTCGAAAAAAAAAATTTAAGATTAGTGGTTGGTTATTGATTTCCATACATGTAAGGGAAAAGAGTGAAATGGAAAGTGGAAGGGTGGATGGGGGGGGGGGGGGGGGGGGGGGGGGGGGGGGGGGGGGGGGGGGGGGGAGAGGAGTGCACAAAACCGTGAACCTACACTCTCAGACATATTAGTTGGGACATTTTTCCAGAACAACGCCTATTGTGTTCTTTCACCCCTCCCCCCCTCCCCCCTTCCCAAATTGTTAAATAATTCTGTGTCTATACCATCTTGCAGACCAACACTGAGAGGGGCAGGGAAGGCTGTATTAGTGTTCCAACAAGTATGCCCTAGGGTGTAGTTCCCTCCCCCCTTTTTTTTTTCTAATGATTTACTCCTTTTGATTTTTTCTCTTAACCTTTATTCCTACTTTATTACATGTTTAAATTGATACTCTTCATGATTAATGACTATGAACTGTACACTATGAGCCCTTCATCTTGGCCTCCTTGGATAGCGCATGTGAAAGGAACCAATTATTGAAACAAATGTCTGAGCAAGGAGGTCCAGTTTGGTTGGTGTACCCTTTGTTTGTTGGGCTGTCATGGTCTGAGTGGGAGAAATTGTAGAGAAATTGGCAATTATGAAGCTACTTGAAAATTTGTTATGAATCTTATGATCAATTCATTTAGTTATATCAATTTAATTTTTTTCTTTTGAATCTCATCTGTAATAGGTGGTATCAATTTAATTTTTTTCTTTTGAATCTCATCTGTAATAGGTGGTATATGACTCCACAAACTGTAAATGCTTACTATAGTCCTTCCAGGAACCAGATTGGTAAGTTTATTCCTTCAGTCAGTTGCTCAGAAAAAACACAGTCATACTCCACTGCTTGTTATTACTATTATTATTATTATTATGTACACCATTGACCTTCAGCCTTCCCGTTGTCTTCATCATCATTATCATTAACAAAAACATTAGCATTATCAAAGCTCTCAAATTGATTTACTGGCAAAGAGTGAAATGGGCATCAATACTCCAGGGGGTCTAAGGGTATTTCCCCTTTCCCCCCTCCTGAAAATTGTGAACAATTGAAGTAGCCAAGATGTGCATTCTTTATTATGAGCAAGAATTTCCACCGTCAGAAGGTGTTTGAATGGAGTACAAGAGGAATAAGGAGTAAATTATATTTAAAAGGATAACTAATTTTCTAGCTGCTTAACCACAGCAGCAATTTGCCTTCTCAAAATAAACAGGTGAAGTCAGAAACCTTAATTGCGCACAAAACAATAGTTTCAGCATGAAAGCACAAGACTGAATTCATTTGAGTGAGTCTTGAGAGCTCTGCAGTATTATAATGTCAGTCACTCTCCTAATTCTTAGAGCTATTGTTACTACAATTCTACTGCATTGATGAAAACAATCTTTATATTTGTCCATAAAATTTTATTATTGCATGCAAATGTGGAGTGAAAAGTAATTGGTTAGTCAAAGGAATTTGACAAGTGATTGACTGGTTATCATCATTTGTTACCTTGCAGTATTCCCAGCAGGAATTTTGCAAGCTCCATATTATAACAGGAAATTCCCAAAGTAAGTTGAATTTTATCATATTTATGACAATGATTCAAACAATTGTAATTGTTATTGATAATTAACCTTTTAACTCTCAGAGGTGATTCACATGTAATTTCTCCCTACAAAATCCCTACACTATAACAGGAAATTCCCAAAGTAAGTTATCACAATGCAGCAATGTAATTGTTAACATCAGTATCCATATTCTCTGCACTCTTCTTTATACTTTTCCTTTATTACTGACAAGGAGAATTAATTTAACCCTTTAACTCCCAAGATCTGATTGTTAATTCTCCCCTCTAGCTGCTACACATTTCCTTGTAAATTAGTTATGAGAACTTGGTGCTAGATCAAGATATCAGCTTGTACCTGATAAGTTTGAATATTCTCATTACCTGTTTGCTGAATAATGTATGAATATTATAGGGAGAAGTTTCATGTTAATCAAAGTTCCATAATATGAAAACAATTTCCTTTATTCTCATGATCTTAATGAATGATTCAGCAGTATAACTGTAGGGAGAAATTTAAGGCTGATCACTCTTAGATTTTAAAGGGCTAAGGGATCGCAATTTTGTAATCAGGTATTTTATTAACTCTTGATGGTTATTTTAATATCAATTTTATATTTTCAGTTGAAAATATGTCTTCCTTATGTTTAAAATGCATTTTTTTTCTCCTGTTTGTTCAATTCCTGACAGGGTCGTCAACTTTGGAGAAATTGGAGCTGTGGTGGGCCATGAACTTACTCATGCCTTTGACAATTCAGGTAAAATGTGTTTGTCTACAAAAATTCTCTACAGGAATTTCTACACTCAATTGCTTTGATTTGCAGTTGGTTTTTAGTGGTATGCAGAGCATTGAAACTTATCTGTGAGACAGAACTCTTCACCACCTCCTTCCTCCTGAGAAATTCTGCTGTGATGAGATCATGCTCTAATCATCAAAAAATGAAATGAAATGAAACTAATTTTTAAGATCAAAAATAACATTTTGCCAACATTAGATTAGCTAATGAAAAGTTACCTAAAAGTCCTATGATGAAATGTTGGACAATCTCTGCTTTTTTTAAGTTTTAAGGAAATGTATGCTAACAAGGAACATTATCTGACTCATTTCTTTTTTGATTTCAGTGTAGAATAATGTGAAGAATTCTCCCCTCAGCTAATTTTTCAATTTGGTTACATAGGTCGCATGTATGATAAGTATGGAAATTATGGAACCCTGTGGTGGACTCAAAAATCTGTGGAACAGTATGAGAAGAGAAGTGCATGTATGATAGACCAGTATTCACAATTTTCTTACTTTAACAAAAAAGTAAGTGGAATGTTTTTCTTGCTCTTAGCCAATAGCTATCATGTAGGATTGGAGTCACATTAATGTTTTTTTGTTGAAAGGTTATTGATGTACAGATGGCTGGACAAACACAGACTCACTGAACAAATTACTGAATGACTGATGGTCTGAATGACTGACCAACTGACTGACTGACTAACTGACCCACTGATTGATTGACTGACTGACTGATCAATGGATTGATTGAGCGACTGATAGACCAACTCTTTTTATTGTAAAGTAAAGGAAGAAATTGTTGATTGCAAAGCTCTGTATCTATAGCTTAAGTATAAATCAAAGAACTTACAATAATTTATTACTGTTAGAAAAAAATTGGATATGTACTTTATATAATCTTGGGCTATATGAACCCTTTAACTCCCAAGATCTGATAGTCAATTCTCCCTTCCAGCTATTACGTTGTTCCTTTTAAATTAGTTACAAGAATTTGGTGTTAGATCAAGACAACAACTTCTACTTGATAAGTTTGAGTATTCTCATTACCTGTTTGCTGGATAATGTATGGATGTTGCAGGGAGATGTTAGATGTTAATCACTTCTGAGGGTTAAAAGGTTAAATCAAGCACCTGTAATTGTTACTTTGTGATTTTTTTTCTCTCCCATCAGGTGAAAGGCAAAGTTACCCTGGGAGAAAACATAGCTGATAATGGAGGCTTAAAGTCTGCTTACAATGTCAGTATTCATCATCTTAATATTCATTCTGTTACATAATGGAATTTTCTTTAAAACAAAAATTATTTATCTTTGCTATTGCTTTCTTATGGGCTGTAGAACAACAGAGAGGGGTAGAGGAGACTTAAGTCCCCCCTCCCTCACTAATTGAAATTTAGGAGGCTTGGCCCCCATGTTTTTGAATAGAAATTATTTCAAATGCAGCAATTCAGAATAATCAATTGGCTCCAGAAAATCCTTAGTCTCATGAGCCTCTCACATATTTTTTCATCAGGATACACCTAGTAAAATAATTAGTGAAAGGAAATTTTTTTGGACAATTGTCCTCTCATACACTGTCACAAATCAGTTGCAGATAACTAGACTGTTAGAATTGCAAAGAGGTTTGCTTTTACCAAATCTCCAAACAAACTACGTAAAAGACATTGGAGAAAGTTTGAGTGAGGGAGAGCAGTTGGCTTGGCAAATGATGTGCCCATCCAATCGCAACTAGGTTTCAAAACACTTTTCTGCCTCCATCTGTTGCCTGAAATGCCAATGATTGATAGAGCCAGCAGTGCACTGAGTCTATCGTTCTTATCCAGACTTCTACTCATCCATGTACACCCAAACATCAGTATGCAAGTTCTCCATACTGTTCTCTATACATTTCATGTTACTTCCAAGGAGAATTCATCTATTAATCAAGAGCTTTTTGAGTTTGCAATCCCTTCCTTCATTCTCATGACCTTGATATTTAATTCATTAATACTTTTGAAAGAAATTACAGTTCTCAATTGCTGTACTATGCTTGAACTAAGGATTAAAGGCAGGTTGTTATCATTCAGATCAATAAAAATTACCTGTAGTCAATAATATACTCATTTTCTTTGTTTATTAGGCTTATAAGGAGTGGGAAAAGAAAGAAGGAGTAGAACCCCCCCTTCCTCTCCTAAACATGACGGCAGATCAAACATTCTTCACTGCATTTGCACAGGTACATTGTAAATTGCTGTTGATAGAACTTGTTGTAGCTAAATTTTAGATTTTTAGCCCTTTACACCTCAACATCAGTTTGTATATCCTCCATACTGTTCTCTATGTGTTTCCTTTCTAACTGAGAAGGAGTATTTGTTTAAAAGTCACAAGTTTTTATTGAGTGATTGTTGCAATTTAATGGTTCACTCAGCGATAATACTTTGAGGAGAAATTAGATGCCAGTCACTCTAACTTAGAGGTTAATAAGTTAAAGAAATATTTCATATCTGACTTGGAGCTTCATTTTTCACAGAGCTGGTGTGCAAACATAAGAGAGCAGGTTGCGATTGTCAGGCTTGATTCTGACTCCCACTCACCTGATAAATTCAGGTATGAATTTAAAACGAAATTCTTCAATCTTTTTGCACCGCAGTTTCTTAAGTCTTGAACACATGAAATCATCCCCATTCGTTTCACTTTTTTAGACATCACTAGTACTTAAGCTCTCTGCTATTATCTCTTTCACTCCTAATATCTCATTAGCAATCCTCCTTACTGTCTGCCATGTAACTCTCATGTTGGTTGAAAGAAATTGGTATTGGATCAACTAATGATGCCCTAATTTATATTTTTTTCTCGATTCTCGTTACTTGTCTGCTTGATATTGTATTATTATAGTAAGGAGAAATTCTGCCTTGGTCAGCCATGGGAGTAAGAGGGTTAAAAAGCACACATTCAACTTTGATTTTGTTCTTTCAGGGTCCTGGGTTCACTGTCTAACTCAGAAGATTTTGCTGCAGCCTTCAAATGTGATCTTGGAAGCAAAATGAACCCTAAGAAAAAATGTCACATTTGGTAGAGAAACTAAATTTTCTTGAACCTACCTCAACCTTTTCACAATAACGTCAGTATGCATATTCTCCATACTGTTCTCTATGCATTTCTTCAGGTGCTTACAAGGAGAATTTGTTTGGCAATCAAAGGCTTCTATAATTGGTGATCATTTCCTTTATTTTTGGTGGCCTTTATATTTAACTTGGTGGGTGATATTGAGGCGATATTAGACAATAGCCACTCTCAAGGATTAAAGGATTAACAGAGAATTTCTTAAATTGTGGAGTTGCGGTAAATTCTATCAACCCTTTAACTCCCAAGATCTCATTAGTAATTCTCCTTACTGTCTGTCATATAGTTCTTGTGATGTTAGTTTGGAGAATTTGGTATTAGATCAACTAACTATCCCCTGGTTAATATTTTTCTTTATTCTCATCACTTGTCTGCTTGATATTGTATCAATATTGTAAGGAGAAATTTTGTCTTGGTCACTCATGGGAGTTAAAGGGTTAAAAAAAGGTTACCATTTTCTGGCAGACTACCGATTCCAACCACTCCTTTAACCTTTTTTATTTATTCAGTTTCAGTTCAATTAAATTTCATTCAATTTTCAATGTTAATTTCATTCAATTTTCAGTGTTAATTTCATTTAATTTTAAGTGTTAAATACCTTAACCAAGGTTTTTTCAGAAGTCCTGCCAATGACTTAAAATGTTGTGATGATAACTTATTGAAATTATTCATAGTAACTACTAGAAGTACTATTAGAGTTATTTTCAGTGTGGAAGAAGGTTTGACATTTGCTCATTGTCAGAGCAAAGGAAAATGTAATTGTAATTATATGTACCATGTAGGTAGTGTTTATTTAATTTTAAAATACCCATTTATGTGGGTAGAGTTTCCCTGGACATAACCTAATGTTCACGAGGATGATGTGAGAAGGGAAAGGCATATTGATTATTTTGGTCAATAAAGGTACAGCTGGCTTGTACAGAAGAGGAGTTTTGGTAAAATATTTCTTTTGTGTTGTTTTGTTTTTTTATTTTCATTTTGATTAGGAAAATAGGGTGATGAGAAAATGTAATAACCCAAAAGAGATGTAATGCTATAGTAGGGTCAAATTTTATCATTAATATTTTGTAAATTTTTTTTTGAAGTTCTCAAGTTTATTTTCTGGCAAAGAGTAAGATGCCACATGCACCACTCACCTGGGGGGTATGGGGGCATGCTCACACAGGAAATTGAAAAAATGAAGCAGCTAAGACATGCAGCAAGAATTTCCACTGTTGGAAAGTGTTTAAGGCGAGTAAAAAAGTAAAGAGGGGTGAATTACATTTAGAAGGATAATCATGTTAAACTTTATAAGTACTTAACTGAATCAGCAGTTTGCCGTCTCAAAATCAACAGTTTAAACCAGAAACCTATGATGATAGTTTCAATGTGCAAGTGTATGATTGAATTTATTTTTGTGAAACTCCAGAGCTCTGCATACTGTATTAATATCGTATACTGTATTAATAGTTTATATCGCATACTGTATTAATAGTTTGGTTACTTAACAGTGCTACAGTACACTTTGTTAAGACAACTGAATTTTAACGTTAAAATTGTTCAATAACTTGTAAATGTTAAGGTGCAAGGTATTTTCATTATGTATGTTTAAATACACACACACATAAATATATATATATATCTATAAGTCTCAGATATATAAACGATGGCCTTCATTTGATTCCAAAATATGCACAGATAGTTGTCTTCAGAAAGCAAAGTTTGAGGAAAACTGTGAGATTCAAGGAACAAATATTGTTTACAGACAAATAAACAAGGATAATTTGTGCCAAATGGAGGCTATTGTGTTTATTATCCTTCAAATATTTTTCAACATGTGGGAAAAAAATTTTTACCAACAGCTTAACGTTTACTGCATTAGATTTTCACTTTTCAATGTTCTCTGGTATAACTTTGCGAACAAATAGATCCTGTCTTCTGTAACAACCTGAAAGCACTCTCTCACTGTCAATTAAATTTTACAGGAAAACTTATCATAGTTGAAAATAAGGTTTAAAGTTAGGGAATATCACTTGGGGTATATCCTCAGATATTCTCCAGTTTTAGCTAGGGCATATACGGTCATGCGATGCATTAAGACTAATGGCATACAAGCAAAATATTTGATGGATTATAATAAAAGTAAACTGTTTTAAAGGTAAAATAAAATTCAGCTCAAACATTAGAATTTGTGGTGTGTGTGTATTGGGGAAGGAGGTGTTCAGGGGAAGAAGAGGAAAAGCAGAGAAAACCCATTGAATAAAATGATGCCAACATGGGTATAAT